GCAGCAGCAGCAGCAGCAGCAGCAGCAGCAGCAGCAGCAGCAGCAGCAGCAGCAGCAGCAGCAGCAGCAGCAGCTAACCACTGCGTGGCTCTGTCCAAGTCGTCGCATTCCTCGGGAATGCAGGGCCCCAAAGCCATTCGCTGCTGCCCCCCTTTGAGGACAGCATTTTTGACGGCCAGCCATTTGTTAAGAACTGCGTTGGCCCTCTCTGCGTTGCGCGCCATTTTGCTGCTGCTGCTGCTGCTGCTGCTGCTGCTGCTGCTGCTGCTCCTGCTGCTGCTGCTGCTGCTGGGCGCGGCGCCGCGGGGGAGGGCTCGCGGGCCGCGGGGGAGGAGGCAGGCGGGCTGCTGCTGCTGTCAATGCTGCTGCAGGTACTAAGCTGAGAACTGCTGCTGCTGCTGCTGCTAATGCTGCAGCTGCTGCTGCAGCTGCTGCTGCTGCTGCAGCTGCTGCTGCAGCTGCGGCGGTTCCTGCTCAGGCCGCACAGCGCGCAGCAACGCTACTCAAATATAGACCGTATGGAAGCTCCGAAGGACAAGAAATTGAGCGAGTCGCTGCTGCTGCTGCTGCTGCCGCTGCTGCTGCTGCTGCTGCTGCTGTCGTCGCTGCAGGGAGGCGCCGTGAGAGCTGCTGCTGTGACACTCAAGGACAAGATGTTCAGAGCCGGAGCAGCAGCAAAAGATAAAAAGATGCAACTTAGTGGGCTTGCAGCTGCTGCAGCCCATGAGCAGCAGCAGCAGCAGCAGCAGCAGCAGCACGAGCGGCGCATGCAGCTCCCGGGGGCCCCCAGCGCGACTTTGCGCAGCGTGCTGCTGTTGCTGCTGCTGCTGCTGCCATTGTTGAACTTGAAATGCATTAAAATAAATGAAAAGGTAAAATTAATTTAATTTATTTATTTAATTTCAGCTTTTAAAGAGGCAGAGGCCAGCAGCGCTGCAACTGCGTGGGGTGTACGTACACCGCAGCGCTCCACTACTTTTTACACTTTTGCAACTTTGGGGCTTTTTGCATGCAATAAAACCTTTTTAAATTATTTATAAAACATTTTTGAATTAATAAAACGCTTTTAATTCTTTTTAATGCTTTTGAGGTGGCAGCTGGCGGCAAAGCCATGGAAGCCCAGGCTATGCAGCAAGCAGGTCGCTTGACTTTAGGGTTTAGGGTTTAGGGTTTAGGGTTTAGGGTTTAGGGTTTAGGTATGCCTTTGTGATTTGCCGCGATTTGGTGTTTCAACCTTAAACCCTATTGTAGATTTCTAACCCCAAACCCTAAACCCTAAACCCTAAACCCTAAACCCTAAATCTGTACATATGCAGATTTGTATTTTGTAGGTATGCTGCTGCATAATGCTGCAGCAGCTGCTTCTCCGCAGCACTGCATGCATGCACATTAAAAGGTTTTATTTTTAAATATTCTTTAAATCCTTTTAACACTTTTAAACTTCTTAATTCATTTTCAAAAGTAAAATGAAATGAAATAAATCATTTAATGCATATTTAGTTGAAGCGATTAATGCATGCGTTCAGGTGTACGTACACCCAAACCCTTGCTGCCACCTGGAAAGAAATGCCTCGAAATAAACATTTTAATTTCAACAAATAAATTAAAGTTCAAAAACATGCATGCGGGAATTAATTTATTTATTATTCTTATTTTAAAAGTGTTCTAATAGTGAAATTACAATTAAAATGTTCAGTAATTTCGTTCTTCCATTACTTTATTATTTTCTTTTTTCTTTTTTATTCTTTTATTATTTCTGTATTATTTTGGTACTGGTTTCGCATGCATGGAGGGCGATGATACTAAAACAAGAAAGCAGTTAGGGTTTAGGGATTAGGGTTTAGGGTTTAGGGTTTAGGGTTTAGCGTTTAGGGTTTAGGGTTTATATGCATTTATTCTTCTTCGCCCTTAAATACACTTTCGTGCTGCAGCTAAAAACGCGCCTGGGCAGTTCTGCAAAATTAAGCTGTTGAGCCCTAGGAATCAAACCCTAAACCCTAAACCCTAAATCCTAAACCCTAAACCCTAGAGCCTAAATCCTAAACCCTAAACCCTAAACCCTAGACCCTAAACCCTAAACCCTTGGACACCAGTGGCTACATGCCTTGCATGCAAGTTCGAATCCAAAGGCAACTGTGATACTGAAGAGTTATTTTTTGCAACACCAGAGCGGGCTAAGCCTTGGACTCTAAACCCTAAACCCTAGACCCTAAACCCTAAACCCTAAACCCTAAATCCGAAGCCCTAAACCCTATACCCTAAGTTCTAAACTTAAAAATGCGAGAAAAAACTCTAAACCGTAAATTCTAAAACCTAAGGCCTGAACTATGAGCTTTAAAGCCAAAGCATCCCGAAACCCTAAACCCTAAACCCTAAACACTAAACCCTAAACCCTAAACCCTAAGCACTAAAAGGGATCCCCACTTCTCTGCTACTTGCAAGAATAGGCGTAAAACTATTTTGGCCGCTGCAGCGACACCGCTAGTAGCGAAATCAGCAGCAAGCAGCAGCAAGAAGCAGCAAGCAGCAGCAAGCAGCGGCAAGCAGCAGCAAGTAGCAGCATGCAGCAGCAAGCAGCAACAAGCAGCAGCAAGCAGCAGCAAGACAATCAGCAGCAAGCAGCAGCAGCAGGCAATAGCAGCAGCTATGAATTCAGCTGCTAAAAGAAGAAACAGCAACTGAATCAGCAGCAAGCAGCAGCAGCAACAGGGAAATTGGCAGCAGCAGCAGCAGCAGCAGTAGCAACGAAGTAAGCAGCAAGCAGCAGCCGTAGCAGCAGCAGCGAGGATGTCAGCAAAAAGCAGAAGCCACAGCAGCAGCGGCAACAGCAGCAGCAGCAGCAAAGAAGCCAGCAGCGTTAATTGCCGAACTTGCTGCTGCAGCTGCTGCTGCTGCAGCTGCTGCTGCTGCAGCAGCTACTCTAAACACGTAACAGCACATTAGTTTTCTTTTGGCAGCAGAAAATTAAATTAACTGAATTTAATAGTTTTTTAAATTAGTTTTAATTAGCATCTTTGCTGCTGCAGCTACCATTCTTGTGCTGCTGCAGTTGCTGCTATTGGTGCCCTTCGTTGCTGCAGCAGCAGTAGCAGCACCTGCTGCTGCTGCTGCTTCTCCTAGCCGCTGTTACTGCTGTTGCTGCCGCCTTTAGACCTATTGCTGCTGCTGCTGCTAATGCCGATACTTCTTGCTGCTGTTGCTGCTGCTACTGCTGCTGCTATTAATGCTGCTGCTGCTATTGTAGCTGCTGCTGCCTTTCTCATTATTACTGAGAATATATACGATTAAACGCCAGCTGCTGCTGCTGCTCTCTTGTGCTGCTGCGCTGTGTCTGCTGCTGCAGCAGCAAGCAGCTGGAATTGGAGCAGCAGCTCTGTTTTGCATGCTTATTTGCTGAGACGCAGATTGGAATAGAGACGAAAATCTTTTCTTTTTCTTTATTCTTTCTAAACTCCAACATTTATATCATTTAAAGACAAATTAAAACAAAATTAAATATATTTTTTGCCTTTTAATTCCTTTTATTTGCGCAAGTTCCATAATTCACGCAGCCCGAGCGATCGGGCGGTGCAGACATCAATTGAGAGCCAAGGGAAGCAAAATTCCGGGAAATTCCGAGAAAAAATCGCAAGAAAAGACTAAAGACTTTAAAAATCAAATTAATAATTATAAATTTGCACATTTTAAACAACAAAACTTTAAAAAATGAAAAAAGTGGAGAAAATTGTGCGCCGATCACCCCCGGCAGCCGGGTGTCTGTACACCTCCGCGGTGGCGCTGCTGTCTTGTGCATCGGGTTGACTGCTCGCTCTGCATTTAAATCTTTTGCATTTTTTAAGAATTAAAATCAAACTTAAATGCATTAAACTGATTTTCAAGCTTGCTGTGGCCAGCTTGGGTCCCCCCAGTGCCTCCCGAATACTGCTGTTGCTGCTGCTTCTCTCTCGCTCATCAGCAGCAGCAGCAGCAGCAGCAGCACAGCAGCAGCTGCAGCAGCCCAGAAGAAGCGTCTCTGAAGTTTAATTGCGCCATTTTTTCACAATTTTCGTTTAATTTTTGCTTTTTAAATTTCTTTCAGCTGCAACGCGAGAGCAGCAAGAACGACGGACCGATCGCTGAGCTGCACTGCTGTTGCGGCCGCACCTGTGACCAGTGGTCCACCTGCAGCAGCAGCAGCAGCAGCAGCAGCAGCAGCAGCACTTCCGCCAGTTTCAATACTACTTTTTACGTCTTTTTAAATTAATTTTGCTGTTGTCCTCCCCAGCAAGGGAGACCTGCAGCACACTACCCTCTGACTGAGCTGCAGCACAATTCCCGCAGCAGCAGCAGCACCTCTGCTGATCTTTTGCTGCTCGCCATTTTTGCGCTTTCAAGCATCCTTGTGGAGGCCTCAGATCGGGTGCACTCGTAGTCAGCAGCAGCAGCAGCAGCAACAGCAGCAGCAGCAGCAGCAGCAGCACTGGAAGTCAACTGTCGCTCCGGCTGCAGCAAGCCATCGCCAACTGCAGCCGCAACGCCAACAACAGCAACAGCAGCGGCTGCAGCAGCAACAGCAGCTGCAGCAGCAACGGCAGCAGCAGCAGCAGCAGCAGCAACGGCAGCAGCAGCAACGGCAGCAGCAGCAGCAGCAACGGCAGCAGCAGCAGCAGCAAGACACGGAGAATGGGGGCAAACTGTACCCATCCTGCTGCTCCCGAGCACTCGCGGGCTCTTTCCCGCGAGCGGCACATGCGTGTGTCTCGGCCCAGCAGCAGCAGCAGCAGCAGCAGCAGCAGCATGCAGCGCCGCCGCAGCAGCGCCTTGAGCAGGAGCAGCAGCTCTGCCAAGAGGAGCAGCAAACTGTCAATTAGTCCTCCGAATTTCGTGTCTTTGCGTCGGAAGCAAAACGAATTGCATGTTTTCTGAGTTTGCTGCTGCTGCTGCTGCTGCTGCTGCACCCTGGTCTCGCTGCTGCTGCTGCTGCAGCAGCAGGCGCGACCAGGGTGCAGCAAGTAAACACC